AAAGCCCAAGCATTCAGCACTGCAGCAGAGAATTGATCGCGTCTAAGGAAGTAGATGGACGTTCTGTTAGCTAAAATAAGGCGTTCAATTCGCTTCGCGCAAAGTTATTTACATTCTCAGGACGAGCGACAGAAGGTCACGTGACTTGGTGCCTTGACTGTCGCCTCGCGGTTTAAATCTGCACAGGCAGTGCGGCCTTGACAAAAAGGTCGGCCGTCGACAGTCGTTCAGCCGACCAGAAAATATTCACATACATGGCAAATTGCATGTACAGCGACATCAAACCTTTGCTGCTGGTCGTATTTGAACCGCCGATCATGCGAAATTGCGCAAAATGATCTAATTCTGGGCTGTCACAACCACGTCTAGAAGTAGTATAATTTGATCCATTTCTACCTCATCCAGATCCTCCAGAAGCATACATTTTTAGAACGATACCATACTGAAATGGAATACTGACCTAGATTTTGCAAAACACAATCTTGAGTCCTACCGGTGCGTACCATCTCTACCATTACTTTCACTGACTCGCGTGGGAGTGTTCGATGAGGACTTTAGAGTAAAACTTTACCTTACATTTTTACAACATAAATTTTATTATTGTCGCGCTTGTCTCAACGAACTGCGTGCGTTTACTAAAGCCATTTGCGAGGTCGGCGGTTAAACCAAGTAGATTTTTTTCTGACATATTAATTGCTGGTTGCCTTCGCAAAAATGCCTTATTTTTGCCCACATATGTGTTTTTGTCAATACATTTTTATTTTAGCCTAATTGCCTCTTTTTTATCCTACAGATGGGCCAACTGCTCTCCTATACTCTGACACCAGATACCTCTTTTCCGCGCCCACAACAGGACTCAACTCTGGCCAATTTATTCAGCGTCATTCGTCGAAATGTCAGAAAAAGCATTGCAGGTTTGCGTTTGCCACTCGCTCCATCGATAATTTTTTATTCTCCTTAGGTTCTTCAGAGACTCCAGAAGCCGGCACGAAGTCTCTGGACTTAGCTCATTTGCCCCCGGAGCTAGCTTTCGACATTTTGTCCTACCTAAATGCCACTGATCTCTACTTGGCCGCATGCGTCTGGTGGAATTTGGCCTCCGATGAGGTTCTTTGGCAGGGGTAGGATCTTGATTGTTTTTTTTGTCAAAAAAGAACATACTTAACACCAAAATCATCACAGGCTTTGTCGTGCAACCTGGCCCTTCTGTTCAGCCTACAAAACGTGGACAGAGCAACCAAATTTCTCCTTCCGTATTCTCTTTCTGCGACTTGATGAGGCCCGACTTACCTTCAACATAGATGGTATTGAGGTAGGGAACTTGTGGAAGAAAAAAACACAGTTTATTTATCTTGATTTTCAGGGCATTAAGTACTTGCAGAAATACGAAATTTTGAACGACGAAACGGACGACCTGGCAATGTTTTTGCACTCGGCTCCGGGACTGGATCCAGTTCAAAAGCGACGCTTCCTGGAGACAAGGCAATTTTTCATCCATTTTTTCTATTTATTTTCATATTACTGTTATTGTTTGTTAGCAGAATTATGGGGAATTTTCCACTCGCTGGAGAACTTTCTGCGCCACTTTTTGAGGGTAGTAATATTAGGTCCGCTCCGGAGGTTTTACTTCAATCGTACAGGAGTGATTACCGATCGTGCTATGGGAAGTATTCGTCCCAATTGGGCTTTGGAGTTCACTCTCGACTCCCGCAAGCAGCCGCATAGCGGCGGCAGAAGAACTTTTGCGAGAAAGACAAAGGAGACTGGAAAGGCTAGAGCGCAGCGGGACGAGTGTATAAAGTAATACGATCGAGGAGCATCCCTCTGCTACTGTTAATATGCCTGATCGCAAGTGACAGAACTACAAGTCCGTGACCCATTGATTAAGCCGTTAAAATTCTAACGACCAGGTCGCGGGCTCGAGCCTCAGGGGTTTAGGTATGGCTGGCTGATGACGTCTGATAAACCAGAAGTGTTCATTCCAATCTCCCTGGTCTTTGTTGGCAATCGTATTCAAGTTTGTTTCGTCTGTTTCGAACTGTAGTATAAAATTTACTTGAAAAACAGGCGGAGAAACATTAGAAAGCCACTGATGGCGTGGTTGCTTCTCGACTTGGATAAACTAGCCCGGGTCGCGGCAAACACCTTTGTACAAGGAAGCAGGAATAATTTACGCCCCGGCAATACCTATAGATAAAACTTTAAATTTGTGTATGCTACTCACTATTTTACAGTAACACATTTATGTTGGATATATTATGTACACAAGAGACTATTCTGACTGCTCACACACACACGTTAAAATTTGTACATGTATATATGTTACTCACTGTTTATAGTGACACATTCTGACTGCTCACACGCACATGTTAAAATTTGTACATGTATATATGTTACTCACTGTTTATAGTGACATATTTCATGTTGGATATTTCATGCATGCTGTTTTCAATAAGGTCTTCAAAGGCATTGCCTACTACCCTAAATATACTGA